TAAACAACGGTAATAAGAAGGAGTAATGACATTTAGAGTCCTCCAAAAAGTATTCATGGACTTATGGTAATAAAACGAGAATGGACCACGAATGGCAAGGAAGTCGTAAAGAGTCACGGTTTAAACACAACTTCTTTAATAAAATCTCTTTTTTTCTTTTCAGTATTTATTGTGTGATATGATGGTTTCGTTTGTCGAGTAGGTACTAGCTGCGAAAGCGGACGGTTTTAAGTTCAGTCTTCGAGGAAATGGACGTATTAGTTGAAATAATGTTAATCTAAATAAAGTCAAAAATTCAATCTTCGAGGAAATTGAAGTATTAATTGAAATAATGTTAATCTAAATGAAGTGAATATTTATTTTAATAAATAGTGGAAATTGTCTACATAACTCTAAATTCAATTATTTTTGCGAAGTAGACACGTCCTGCATAAATCAATATCTAATTCTTTATCTATGTAAGTATTAGATGTATTTCTGACACAAACGTAATTCCATGGTTATAAGAAACCCTTACCTAATCTCTTAATGCTGAAATCACCTTTCTTTCCCTTCCTTGTGAAATTAACCCATATTCATCAAGGCACTCTTTCGGGAAGATTTCGCAGCTGAATCACTACATTCTTCCCATGAAAATTACCATTAAATCCCATCATGATTATAAGCAAGTAAAGTAAACGATTTATACATCGTAAACGATGGCCCAAAAGAATAATTTTGGCGCCCCAAATAAAAAAAAAGTCACGAAAACTCCGCCCCATCTCCGAGGGATTGCGCGTAAATACTTTTAAGGGAATTTAAATTTGGATCAATCTCATTAAACCTGACGACAGTTCGCAAACTCTTATAAAACTTCCTTACTGTATTCTATTTAAAGTTCGCCCTTTGAATGCTCTAAACAAAAAAAAAGGATTGAAATTCTCCAGCACGCAAACTGGGACCAACGCTGATTAAATTCATTGTTTAATTAGGATTCTGCGTAAGTGAGCTCTAATTGGCCCAAAAACAGTACAGAGGTTTTTGTATATGCAAAAAGCAAGCCTTTATGTGTCACAGGAACACATAAAGCTCATTAGCATAATTATTATATATTTTCCTCGCTTATTTTTGATCAAAGAGTTCAACCAAGCGTGGAAGGACTAAAAATTTTCTCAACGATGAACAAAATTAGCCTGAATTTAGATCACAAAGCCTAAAAGGTCACTAAACTTGGTTTTAAGGAGAGCTTTCACACAAGAGCTAACGATTTCGACGTCGTTTTTAACCAGTATTAATACTCATATAACATACTCTATTCCTCTAATCCGTGGTTGAAATAATTCGCTTTTACAATTTTAATGGTAGCTAAATGGACGGTCGCTTTACAACAAATTAGTCTGATTTGCAAATAATCAAGAGCATGCTCAAATGTGTTGCGATTAAGCAATAGAATTATTTATGATTTTCCACATTCACAAAAATCGATAATCCTTCACAAATCTTGGACATATGGACATAGAAACATGATTATATTAAATACCTCTTTTGTAGTAAGAAATTCATTGAAGCATAAACTAATCGCTGATTCACTGAATTGTGAATGTTATTATTTAAAAAAGTTCCCTTTACTACATAATGTAAGCATGTTCAAGGGACACGATAAAGGAACAATAGAAAACAAATGAGGTGTAAGTTATTCACTGCTCGCAACGTAATGGGTCGGGGAGGGGTCCGATCACCAGCAAGGAAGGGATATACGCCTTTTAATCTAAATTTATATTTTCTGAAGGAAAATAGGTTAATAAAATTATTAGACATGAACTGGATGAAGATATAAACGATAATGTTGACGATAAAATTCTAGAATAAGCTTCGATGAAGCAACTATTTTGGATAAAATTTTGTGATATACTCCATTGTTTCTTGAATACGGTACCTATTTAGAGTAAGTATGTAATCCGTTATTATCAGTATAGGTACACCGTTGCTGAACCTGTGTACAAAATCAAAAATCTCAACAATATTGTCATCGACTATCGAACCCAAATCCTTGTTCACATCAGCCACACTTGAGACCACTCGATCATAAAGACAGTAAGGTCAACAGTCAGTTTCAAAGGCCATTAAATATCCAATTAATTAAAACTTAACAAGAAACTCTCAACTATGTTACTCAACAAAGTCTTGAACATGAAATAAGTAAAAGAAGAATCTGGTCTGAGTGAGATTTCATATCTCAGTTAAACCAGTCGTCTCCAAGTACTTGGTTTTGTCTCGGATGATTATTTTGCAACTTAAATTGAAGTTGGAATTAACTTTGTAAGGAAGATTACCCATGCAATGAAGCGGGAGGAAACAGGACTAATTTGTGTTAAGAATATTATAAGAGAGCTTTGATAATAAGGAGACTTTTTCTTTTACTCATTGAATACCAATTTGATGAAACTATTGGTATTATGATCAGGGTTCTTTATTATTCTCTCTTTTAATGTTTCTGTATCCATTCATTTTTTCTACATTTTATATCTGTCTCGAAGAGTTCTACAAAACCAACTATCACGAACAGATTCCAAAAAAAGAGCCCAAATGTTTTCACTCCATTTATTCTTTTTCCTTCTTTACATCAACTCCCCCTTGCAAAAATAAGCTCCACAAATTGCATGCTGCAGGGTCGTAGGGTACTTTTTCAATTAGTACCGACTGACCATTGTGAGTCGTAGGTACCGGTGCCAAACAGATTTCTTTTGAAGTTGGTTTCCAGTAAATTTGGCTCAAACCTTTTTGACTTGTACTCTGGGACAAGTCAGAAGAGGACGGTCCCTTTGGAATTTTCTAATAAATTGGCGTCTTTTGTATTATTTTTTCGCTGAAAGATAATTTTTGTGGTTATTCAGTGATGTGAATTGTGTAGTCAAAGATATAAAGACTGGATAATCCGATTGGAAGTGTTAATAACTACGGTTTTTATTTTAGTGTTGAGCCTGTAATATTTACAGAAGCTATTAGGTACAACCAAAGCATTTTCCTATACATATTTAGATTGAAATTGAACTAAAATGTAGAATTTTGCGTAAAGTACTTTCAGAAGTAACACTAGAAATATATTTCTTGTCGTTTTATTTCATTACTTGTGCCAAAGACAGAGTCAACAGTCGTGGAAGCCCTTCCAGTAATAATAATAATGATCGATCTCTTGGAAAATATTGCAGGATAAAAACTTCATGAGGCACTCTGTTTTCATGGTTATCCGTAGAGGGTTTCGATCTGAAAGCTGAACATAATGGGAGTTGGCATAGAAAAAATGTTTTTGTATGATAGTATTTCTTTTAGTCAGTACTAAGAAAGCGATTGATTTCTCAAAGTTACGCAAGCACTGGTTTGCAGAGTGCTATGGATTTAGTAAAACGGTTTATGAAGATTAGCAAAAACTGTTTTCAATTATTTGCTCAGTGAATTCCATCAGGCGAACCTACTCATCACCATTCAACATTGGACCTCATCAACAGCTTTTGGTAATCACTTCAGGACTTTCTTTTGGAGAAATACAAAATATAAAACCGATGAACATTGCTGTACTCATAATTATTGACCGTCACTTCTAGGCTGTGCAGTTACTCAGCCTAGATACTTTTCTAGCCCAACCCACTAATACGACACTTAACAAATATCTCAATTCTCATAGAATAGGAAAGAAATTCAATATAATATTATATTATATGGTACGCAATAAAATTCTGTATCGTGGGCTAACACGCGGCTCTGGGGGCTCGATATTTACGACAGTGGTTCTAAAAAGGGTTCTCAATGCCAATAAGCGGACTACATCTATATTTTTATAGATTTTCGTATATTGTAGTATTCAACATTTTCTTATTTTCAGTATTTCACACATCGTTCTACTTTCTGGCTACTTATAGTGTATTATAATTTCGGTTTTGGGTTAGGCTTTTGATGTGAATTTTTAGTTTTGGGATTGACAGAGTTGGTTTATTTGATTCTATTGAATTTGATCTCGTCTTAGTTTAAAATAAAATCTCTCTCGTCTCGTTTCGGTTTCTCTTTTCTAAATTATAATTTCTTTTATTTAGTATCTAACCATAATTGTACCTATTTATATTACTGTACAACTAACGCCTGAATATTGGAAGGCTACTCAATTGTTAGTTTTGCTTAAATATCGTGCTATCTCTGTCATTTTACAGAGAATTTATGTGACAGAACTATACTCAAGCGTGACTTAAAATTTGAGAAGCGTTTGAGTATTTCGACATATGTTAGTATATCGAAGGTGACTTTTCATATTTTTCTCATACTATTTTTCATCTTCTGCAGCAACATCTGAAAGAAAATCATTCATCCATTCTTACTACTGTCTGAGTTGACATAAGTAGTATATCATTACACCATTAGAACTGCCTTCTGATGATCATAAATATGATTGTCGTACCTGAAATCTAGGTTCAAAATCCTTAGCTTATGAATAGCTACAATACTGGAATCCACTTCAGTATATAGGCTTCAGAAATAATTGGCATAGGCCCTAGGCAATAGACGGGTCTTTTACTACTATAGCCATAATATATTATTGTGCTTTTTCTACTTCTTTATTTACTTCTGTATGTTTTGTTATTTATCAGTGCTAATGTACCCAAATATAATACAGAACATTGCCAATTAAGATAAAAGTAATCCGTCGGGTAACTATGAAATGTTGATAAAATAATAAAACATAAGCCCAATGTAATGAAATTCTGAGTAATTGTTGTTGATATTTAGATAAAATTCCTACTTAGTTACCTTGTGCTAATCTGGTAGTTCTAGTTATTTCAAATGAGGAAAATCTTATTCCTAGTATTATGAATTGCCATTATAATTGTCTCATATACTGTCTATTGTTCGCTGTTTATCGTAATATAGATGTAGATGCTAGCCTTTAAACTGTCAAACACGACTAGCGGTCACCGGTGACCGCAACCTATTGATCTTTAATTGTGTCTATAATGACGGTACTCAACGAGTTAATTCAATTTTGTACTTAAACATTCTCAGCATAGAGTCTGAAATTAACAGACTAAAAACATAACCAGGAAAATATACCTCATTGCTTACTCTTCTAGACTATTAAGTTTAAAAGTGACACTATAGATATAGTACTCATATATTTAATGTTTCCACTTTTACAATACCTACCGAAACTTACCCAATATTTAACATTTTGGCCACTGCTTTAACATTTGTGGCACATTCACATAATTTTACATACATATACATACAATAGTTTTTCATCCATTATTCTGTTGTAAATTAAACTTTAATAATTTATTTATCTTTGCTGAAAAGAATTGATGTATGTTCTATACTCACAGAAATTTATTTACTTACACATTCTTTTCGGTATATTTTATATCCCAATAATTACTTTGAGGACACACATAGGCTTATTTTTTTCCATTTTTAAGTGAAGCAGGATTTTAACCATTGCAATTTTATTTATCATTGCATATAATTCACTCGCTTTATTTTTTATTATCACTTGTCCAAAGGTTAACTTGTTTCTAAAAACCACCTAAAACACAAAACATTTCAAATAAAACACAATTGTTATTGGAATAAAGTGTATTTTTGCTTACCTGAACTTCATATTATTCATTATTTCTAGTTACTGATTATACATTATACGTAGTTTCAATACATCTTCTACTTTTATATTACCACTCTATATCTTTCATTTAATTCCGTATTTTTCCAAAGCCATCATTTTATTATTTATAATAATACCTTTGTTACCATCATCATTTAAAATGCTATATTAATAGTGCGCTAAAATAGAAAAAAAATAAACACAGTGATTAAACATGAGTTAAAACTAGATTAATAAAGAAAATCCCCACCCAATTATGCCTAATACACACAAAAAATTACCCTTATAATAATATCTTCCATAAAACATTAAAATTACCATTATAAATATTAAAATGTCATCCATAAAGTAAATTAAGACAAAGCGGATTATCTAAAAAGGTTGCTCCCGAACTCATTCATCTTGTAAGATAAAAAATAAATGAAAAAAAAAAAATACCTACACCACAATATAGCGTCATTATCTAAGGTAAAACCCCGGCATCATTGATTTCTCAAGTGGGTTCCATTGTGTTTCCAACCTTCAAATTGATTCATTCAGAGTTTTCAATGTTAATATTTTCCACCATTTCAGTTAAATTAGCTTGTGGCTCTTCAACATTGGCTGGGGCTTCTTCAGTTGGTTTGTTTTCAGCTACAGTTTGTTTATTTTTCTTGTGGAACTTGCCATGTCCAAAACGGCCACCGTGACGTCCCTTTCGAGCACATTTGCAATCACATTTATTTTTGCCCATTTGTTGTTGTTCGTTGTCCGTACCTTGTTCCTGGGTCTCGTATGGTGGTGGAGATGGATTGCGACCAGATTCAATGTTCGTGTTGTTGGTGTTGTTGTCAGATTCATCGCTGGTCAGGTCAATGGTCCAACGAGCCCAGAATTTGCCGTTGTGTGGACCATGCAGACCGTGACGTCCTCGGTGACAGTGCGGTCTGCCGTGACGGTGTGGTCCATGGTGGCCATGAGGACCATGATGTCCATGATGACCGTGATGACCATGGTGCATCCCATACCCATGATGTTTACCGTGTCCATGATGCTTTCCATGTCCATGTTTACCAAACATGCGTCCACACTTCCCATGATGTCCATGATCGAGGTCATGGCCATGTTTTTTATGTTTGTCCGATTGAATATATTCGACAAACATTCTTACTAACTGTTGTTTTTCACGATCGAGAGAGGAAATCTCACACATATTTGGACCGGTATGTTTGCAATGACCTCGCATTTTGAGAAAAAAAACTGTAGGGCTATCAACGAAAGCCGTCGACTAGTTTATGGCACGTAACAGTCGTTGAAAGGCTTTATATACTCGCGATTCAACGTGAGTCATCGTTAAGTGCGGACTTCCATTTTGTATTGATAATCTAACGAACGGAACCATTGGAATTTCAACTTTATGTAATGGAATTAAAGACGATTATTTGGTGGCCGAAAATATTTTCTTATTTAATTAATAACAGTTCTAAGATTTCGCTATTAATAAAAATGTTTGTTCGGCGAAATTGATAAGATTGGTTTAATTTTTTGGTTACTTTTTTCTAGCAACTTCGTAAAATCTAAAAGTAATATAATTTGGTCATACAACCTACAAAATTAAGACAATTTCTATTTAAAAAAGTAGGCAACAGAACTATACTAGAAGATACTTACAAGAAGAACGAAAGAACAAAGAAAACAAATATTGCGCAACATTTCACCATATTTGCAATGATGTCGAAATATTATGCAATATAACCTAATGACTAAAGTGTTTCACAATTCTAAATTGTAAATTCAAATATCTAGTTTCCTTTGTGAAATATGTCGACATATACAATACATGGGTTATTGGGTGACGTCACCACCCCAGCTCTTTCCGCGGGAATCAACTACTACTCTAAGAGTCCGGGCAGTAGCATTATTTGATTAAATTGGTCCTTTTGAACTGCCATTAAATGAGGACCAAATTAAAAGTACCCTTAACCGTCGAACATGCAATAAAAAAAAGATTGATGACTGTTGATGAAGCGAACTAGGTATGTAGGAATCGTAGTAACTAGCGTTCCATAGTCTCTGCCTACAACCATGTGAGACAGGCGTGAAGTTATGTATCTCCAATCCGTCTGTCAATCGTGAAGATTATAATAAGCCCCTCTTTTGTAGAAAAGGCCTTCTGTTTAGCTGATGATGCTGATCTATGATACTAAATTTTAAAAACAAATATTCAATGTTCCTGTCTAAAATATAGAGGTAGGTTCACATGCAAAACATCCGCTTTATTACAAACATGATTCATAGAAATAGCTTGCCAAGAGGCTGCAAATCGAGCTATACATATCCAGTTTATCTTAGTCTCGTTTTGTATGATCGTGCTATACATTCATAGGTCAGCTTATACTGGATATGTTTAGCTTGATGTGTACCCTAGAAGAGGAATATAAATGTGTTTATTTGAAATGATCACTGCTTATATTTTCTTGAACGTGCTCCAGAATTTTGCCAAGTATTCGTTTCCTGTTTTGGTAATTGTTTTTGTTATGGGTGTCTATAAAAATGCTTTATAGATTCATGGTCGTAAATGTTACTGTGATGAGCAAGAAAATGGTTTTGAATCCTAAACTGGGTAAAGTTGCCGCAGCTAAGCAGAAGTAGGAACGGGGTGGTTTTTAGTCAGTAAGAGTGTGACATTCCCTCTCGCCACACCCAGGGTGGGGGTCATTGGATGATTTTCAAAAAAAAAAACAACAAGGTTAACTCGTTGAGTACCTACCGTCATTATAGACACAATTAAAGAACAATAGGTTGCGGTCACCGGTGTCCTCGCGGTGTTTGACAGTTTAAGTTGGCATTGAAGATATTTAATGAAATTAAATGAAATGAAACATTCGGTTGATCATTTTTAAATTAAAGTGCGCTATGATCAGCTTATTATAGGCATACAAATAATCGTTTAAACATTTTCTTATTAATCAATCTATTAGTTAGGAATTTAAATATGAATTTGTCGTCTTTTAATGGATTACATGTCAATGTCAGATGAGGAAGACTACATAGTGTACAATAAGTTACAATAATAAGTGATTACAGAATCCTGTGTTATTGATGTAGATTGTAAAGTACCTAAAGTAGAAATTGGCTTAAGTCGATTAAGTCCTCCTTAGTCCTTGAATATGCAAAAATGCATCTTATGTATAATTGAAATACATGCCTATTTCCAATTTAACTTTAGATGTAATCCAGTCACAACGCAGGTAAATTCTCTAATAAAACAACTCAAGATATGACCTATAAAAGTTAATCTATTTCACGCTAATATAACGTATAGGCACCAATAAAATGCAAACCATCATAATATTAGTACTCATTGATAATTTTGTTAGTTCAGACAGCGTTATCAGCGGGTACTTAGTCAGACTCGTTCATATTATGTGACGTCATATCGTACATGATATATTATTTTATCAGAATACAACTTTCGTATACGGGTCTGCTTGTTCATCACTACATAGTTTATAACAAAGTCGGTATCCGCAGTCTGTCTGTCCCTATGTATGCTTAGATCTTTAAAAATAAGCAACGGATTTTGATGCGGTTTTTTTTAATAGATAGAGTGATTTTTAAGGAAGGCTTATATGTAAATTAAATAATATTGAACATGTGCGAAGCCGAGGCGGGTCGCTAGTTTAAACAATAAAGAAAATTGTAGTGTCTTTATGGGTAAACGACGGAAACTGGAATTCTTTTCCAGAGTCTGTATTTCCTGAAGGGTATAACCTGGGTGTCTTCAAGGCCCGAGTGAATAGGTTGCTTATGGGACGACGTACTCCATCGTGGCCCGCATCATCGCTTACCACCAACCGAGATAGTGGTCAAACGTTGGCCCATCAAATAGAGAAAAAAAAAACCTATTTCTTTCGAAATTGATGACTTAGGAATATTGATGATTGCAAAAGAACAAAAATCATTGTGACATTTAGCTAGGTAACTTATTAACATATTTTACACAATAAAAGTAAATATTTACTATTAACGCCACCTAACCTTTGTTAAAATAGTTAAAACACAACCTATAAAAGTACCTCTATGTGGTTTTGCAAAGCAAATAATTGTGTACCTAGTTATGATATTTTTCTATGAATTCTATTGACGGCAAAAAACGAACGCTGTTATAGTACGAACGTGGTCGTTGACCTCTTGTGCCTCGCTAAGGTTAAAAAGAGTACATAATGGTACATACATAGATCTATGTATATCAAATATCAGCATCGATACTTTTATACCTCATATGAGAAGACAGGCACAAAATGTTAATTTCATTAGTCACACAATTACAATAATTAATTTATCTAGCTGAATATTTCTTCGGATAAAAAATAAGCACAGCCTCGTTGCTGACTGGTTGCAAGTGCGACTGCCGGGTACAATTCCCGGGTCGGTCAAAGTATTACTGGGTTTTCAAATAAATTCTCAGTAGTCACGGAGTCTGAAAATGCGCACACGGCAATAGGCTCATCCCCTATTACATGGGACTCATAACATAAATAGTGAAAAGTGGGTGCTACATTGTATAAGCATTATCTGACGTAATATGCACCTCTGCCTACCGCTTCGGAGATGAAAGGCGTGATGTTATGTTATGTAGAAAATAAGCATTGTCATTCAACGTGACAATGCTGCCAATCTTCTGGGCACGTTCGTCAATGACAGTGATGCGGATGAATTATTTGACGCCTAACTGATTTTTTATTTTATCCAATGGTTATTACCAGTAAAGTGTACGTTTGCTAGTATTTTTTAGACATTTAGCAGATTTTATTTTTCATAATCTTTTCTTATTGTTAAGTCTAAAATCTTATCATGTTCTCAATGAAATTTGAGATAAAATATAGGTAGGTACAGCACATAGTACAATACAATTCGTTTAAGACTTCGTCTGATTGATTACATGTTGCGATTGCGATAGTGTAGAGGTATAGTATGATTGTGAACTACGTATGAAACTGCCTATTGTATTGACGCGTACTTTCCCGGAATAGTAAATAGATAAAAATATTGTGTCAAATTTTTGGAATTCCATTTTCCTATTTCTCAGTAAAAGCATTGTACGAACTGTAAACATTTGGCGTTCTGATATTCTGAAACAGAAGGAGTAATAAACAAAACCTGTAACAACTCAAATGACCACGGTGGCAACGATTTTGAATTATATACAACATAACATCACGCCTTTTATCTCCAAAGGGATAGGCTCTGCCTGCACATTATGCCACTGTACAATGTAACACACACTTTTCACTATTTATGTTATGAGTCCGACCCGGGAATCGAACCCGAGACCCCTTGCTTGCAGTCACACTTGCGACCAACGAGGCACTCGGCCAACGAGGCAGTCTTTTAATTCTGAATTTTATAATAAGAATCATAATAAATTATCATGTCACATTGCAGGTACCGTAAAATGGGGTGAATAGGGATCGAGAGGAGAATAGAGACAAAAGAGAGGTGAATAGATGTTGGAAAATTCTTCATAGTATCGATTTACCCCTCTTCGATCTCTATTCACCTCTCAATTCTTATTCACCCCATTTGACCGTTAGCCAAAGTAGCTAACATTTTAAATAAAATCACACTACTATTATCAATGAGAAAGTTTGTTTAGATGTTTCACGTCAGTCACCCTGAAACTACTGAACGAATTTTGATGAAATTTGGTATACAGGCAGGGTATGGGTTGACTTAGGTGATAGGACCGATTAAATGCTCCAAAGGGATAAAATAGGAATTATATCCTACGTGGATGAAGTTGCGGGCAACAGTTAGTGTTACATAATATTGACTTTATAACTTGTACATACAGACATCTGCTATTTTAGATGATGAAATTCAATTGGTACTATGTATCCTATTATGAAAGGTTACTGGGTAATCAGCATGGCTATTAAACGTGGCAATGCTGCCAGTCTTCTGGGAACGTTCCCCAGTGACAGTGATATGGATGAATACCTACCTACTTTTTAACTCGTCGAGTACCGTCATTATAGACACAATTATAGAACAATAGGTTGCGGTCACCGGTGACCGCTTGGTGTTTGACAGTTTAAATTCATTTTCCACCACATTCAGTTTTACTGGATATACAAGGTGTAGTTTTGAAACCGCATTTCTCGGGGGCATGTCACAGAAATCATTAGGGTTCAATAGAAGAAAATTTCGGGCCAATAGTTAAAAATACGGCTATAATAAATCGTTTAAGTTTGACAGTATTTCAGAATAAGTGACAGCAATGTTGCTTATTGGAGTTTTATGGAATTAGGAATAATAGCAATTAGATACGTGTTTGAGTTTATGTGTGTTGAGCCGCGTTATAAAGCTAAGCTACAAGACGGCAGCAGTTCGCACTTACGGATTTCCGTAATTTACGGAAAAATTAAAAATATTTACTTACAATTATTTTTATTAATTCGGACTCAGAATTGATAGCAGAGTTACCTCCTAGAAAATGACGCGGCTTTAAAACAACACCTTGTATATACGTACCAATAAAACAGTATATGACAAATAAAACATTACTGATGTATGGTATACAAACCTACGCCGCTACTCGTACTTACCCATATAACGTAGTATTTGAATGAGTTAGCTTGGCTGGAATATCACAATCACGTCGGTAATAATATCCGCCATTGATTGTGTCAGTAGCCCACTGTGCACTGTGCATGCAAATGTTGACAATTAGACTCGAAATTAATCCTTTGTTTTGAATTCCTAGTAACAGCAATTTGTTAGAAATTCTAAGAATTAATAATGGTGCATAGTTTCGGAATGATTTTGGTCAGTGAATCATAATGTTTACGGTATAATGATTTTCGACATAATAAGTTTTTCTTTTTGTCGTTCTCGAAGAGCATTGCAGATTGTATGCTGGTGTTTTATACTAGTTATTTCGCATTGTGATTCGTATTTACATTAATATTTCTGTCATTCTTAATTTAGACATTTGAAAAGTACAACCATATTTTGCACATACATGGAACTAAAAATATTTTAAACAGAACACAAACGATCATAAGTTAACATCACATCACTTCTATTATATGTATAGAACACACATAAATGGTTAAATTATCATGTTCAACTTCATTGTACCTATTTCATGACCATATTGGCTTTGCAACACCTAAACGTTGGCTAAAAAGAATGTCTGTCGCATTATGTATGTACCACTATTGTGCATTAAGTTTAAATAAATAAAATAAAAGGCATAGACAACGGTACGCATACCTTAAAGACTTAGTTAAAGAATTCAATTTTAATAACAAGGAGTGGTTTAACCAAACAAAGGACACGATACACGAACAGACAAAAATAAACATTGCTATTAATTTTGTTGCAGGCGGAGTTAGTGGCTGTTGAAGGAAAGGAGATTGAAACCCATTACGTGTTGGCTCGAGAAAGGATTCGTCGATGGAATTCCACATCGAAATGCTACCTTCTCGTCGAAAACTTACCTACACCTTTGCAGGTATTACTGACTTCTTTCTTTTCTATTTTAATCACGTTTTAACAAACGACAGGAGGTTCGCATGTTGCTATTTACATATGTATAAACAAGTACATCGAAAAAAATGTCACTGACGACAGATGGGCTAGAAAAGTCCTTGAGTGGAGACCATGGACCGAAGCGACAACATCGCTAGAGTTGCAGGGAGCCAGTACCTATATAGATGCAGGCGGCCAGTTGTCGTTCGACGTGGAGGACTAATGGAGAGGCCTTTGTCCTGCAGTGTTTTTCGGCTTTTGATGATGATGATAATGTCACTTAGAAATGATTGAAGCACTTAAATGTCAGTGGGTTATTTATGTGTGCGTGTGTGGCCACGTTACCAGACTTAGGAAAATGAGGAATGTCCTTTGTGTCAATGTTCGTATGCTCGCGTGTAAGTCTGTAGTAACCAGGTGCCACAGCCGTTGTTTCAAGAGACTACGTCCGACTTTCTTTCAACATCCTTGTTTATGACTCTTACTATGATTTTTACAGTACCTAATTTAACTAGATAAGTTTTTAAAGAAGCTTCATAATAGGATTTGCCCCTGCAAATATAATTGAAATGAAATGAAAATGAAATGGAATAAAAAAGTGTTTTATTTGCCATACGGTATGAATGCCAGGAACAAAAAAAAGAATATATACAATTTGACGAAATAACAATATAAAGGTTTAAAACAAGAGAGAGAGAGAGAAAAGGATAAAAAGATAAATTATATAACTAAAACCAGATAACAAAAGTAGATGTAACATACTGCGCGGTGTTGGCAGACATGCCCAAGTTGCTTGTTTCAAGTACGAAAGATATGCAGCAGTAGTCGATAGAACCACTGCGCCAATCATTTATTTGGTGTTAATAGAGCTCAGTTTAGTTGTGAAGTTTAGTAGGAGTTCCATAGTTTATGTTAGTAGTAGTGTACTAAGTTAATAGTTGTTGATGCGTTCAGTTTGCAGTTTCGGTTTAAATTATTAATGATGCTTTACACGAAACCAATCTGTAAGTGCTAAACAAAACTTTAGTCTTTAGTTATTTCGCAACTGTCTTGAGTAGATATTGTAAATAAATGGTAAGTTCGTTTAGAAATTCGTAAGTACTCTAAAGCGATTATATAGTTATTTGCATCTCCCACCGCCTGCCGTCGTATTCGTATCACTGCTGGTCTCCAAAACCAAACGACACTAGTACACTATTTTTTGTTACGATGGGATTTGGACTTTTATTTCTCCCCAAATGATTCACGAGTTAGATTGGACTATACTGGGAACTGGTAACACATTTTTCTCAGATAATAGTCAGAATTATTTATTGTTATGTTTAAGAAATACCTAGATTAGTAAATTGTAACATTTCATTCATTCCATTTCAGTTATTTTGCAACCCAAAAACTACAAATTCGAAGTTTTGTTCGTTTTGTATTTAAAAACCGAATGTGTTGCTAAAACCAATAGAGAGTAGGATAAGAAAAATCTGTAGGGTTAAACTATTAATTTTAATCAGATCCTATTTTAACACGACAAAATGTTACCATTAATTCCATCAGGCGGGCGGCATAGCGAGTGCAAGCGTGTGGTCGTCATGCGGTTGCCGTCAGCGGTTGCTGGCTGCCGTCACGAGCGGTGGACGGGCCGTACACTGGGCCGCCGTACCCGCTCCACCGGCAAACGACTCGGATCTCTGCCGGTTTAATTACACGTGAGTAATTTTCCTGGTGTAGGTTGTTGGATTTGTTTTTGGTGTAAACTGTAAGTACTCAAGCTTATTTAAAACTATTTATGGAGATAACTGCAGTTAATCTTGTTTAAACTTCTAGATTTCATAATCGACAAACGTCTTCAAAGAATTATTTTCTTTCTTTTGTATGGTATAAGCCGGTACACGAACTGCGGAATCACCTGATGGTAAGCAATCGGCCCATGGACACCTGGAACACCAGAGGCTTTACCGGCCTTTACCTTTTGGGGACTTTTTGATTAGTTAGTTGATTAATTGTCAATACATTTCATGGATTTCCTTCCAGGACTTATTAGGAACGGTATAAAAATAATAAATGCTATAGACTACTACCTAAAGAAAACTAAGCTATCACTGATCCTTTACAGATCTTTCATTGAACATCAAAATGACTTTTCGAAAAAACAACGAAACGTAATCGAAATTCAAGATTGTACATTTAATGACTATCGTAGGAAATAAAACTCAGTTTATAGGTTATTCTGTTTTTACGATTACGTTGTAAAGGATTTCAAATGCAGGCGAATTGAAAGTTAAACGCAAAATAATCCTTATTTTAATTTCGCTGCGTAACAAGTGAAGAACGAACAGTTAATGGCTGTTGTTTTTATAGCTATGATTTGGAATAAAGCTGGAACTCGGTTTAGTATGTAGCAATTACTGTTACGATGAAATAGTTGTATATAAATGCATGTATTTATGGTATAGATTCAGAAAAATAATGTACTATCCTTAGGTCTTGTAGTACCAAAGTAAATATGTAACAAATGTATTGTCACATATCGAGGATAAATCTAATTTCAGGTAAAACTTATAAGAACACTCTGGAGGACCCGGCAGACTACATGCCGCTTAAAATGTTTTTCCCACCTTTTGAACCTTCCCTGTACTTCCACGAACATTTCTAGACCAAATTCAGCCAAACCGAACGGATATTCATTTTTATTTATATAGATATGTCTTAAAAAAATTTCTTTGGCTTGAAAAATTCGTATTCCAAAATAAGTAAATTGTAAGTTCAAGCGTTTCGTCGTGCGAATGAGGTTACCTGAGGCTCAATTACACATCTCCCCTACCCAATCCCCGAATTCCCAATAATCCCCAAACCGATTGCTTACCATCAGGTGATCCGTCTGCTCGTTTACCGGTAGGTATATGCCATATATAATTTATTTGGTACAACACCAGGCAGAAACACAATACAATAAATACAATACAAACAAAAATTAGGAGTGAAATAATAATCTACCATCTATCAAAAAATCCCTTTCGGTAACCATAAAACTCATTTCAGTCGCGACGATTAAAGTCCTCACCGTAATAACTTATCTATAAACATTTAATACCCGTGGCTTTCGATAATTAGCCGCACAAAAATCCATTAAAACATTATGACCACCATTAAAAAGGACTGATATAGTTCAAGCAATTAAAGAGATGAAGAGTTTTCTCGATGACTTTAATTATGCGAATGAAAATAGGTTAAGTATTTGCTGAGGTCAGTTTTTTGATGGATTTCAATGCTTTACTTATACGAAAATATTTCGTAAAGTATTTCTGTTAAAAGTTTTAGAAAGGGATGTTTATGAAGCAGAGGAGTTTTAAAGACTTATTAAAGATGTTTTAAAAATAGACTACGTTACGGACCCTTTTTAGATTTTTGTTAATTTTTAAGCTTTAAGCTAAATGCTTAAAGTCTATTTTTACCGATTAGGAAGAGTAACGGAAATGATAAAACCTTTTCTGGTTTAAACGTATTTGGCTTGTCTTGTCATATTACATATTTTAACATTAGATAATGTAAATAATTCTAAATTACCTTACCTTAATAGTTCTTTACTTTAGGTTTAAGTTTACTGAATAAATTAAGTTTGATATATTTAGTTCGACATGATCAATATGAACTTGCAATTTACTTATTCGAGCTATTTGTTTTTATCACACTGATGTGTTAAGATTAAAATTACGATGAATAGGGTAGATGCCTAATTTTTATTTTAATGTCCGTCTGGTAGACTATTTTAAATCATTAGAAACATTAGTATTTTTTATTTTCCTCCATAAACTAATACTTTCGACGATATATTGGTTTGAAATGTTGCGTGACGTCACTTCTATGTACATTTTATACGTAGAAATGATATTTTAGCCCCCTCTCCTAAATTTTGATTCGTTTTATCTAAGCATTGTTTTATTATACGACAAAATAAAAAAAATACGTGTCTAATATTTTTTTAATTACCTAACTTACGGACTAATTATGTTTTTTATTTTCATCGCAATTATCACCGTGAAAAACTATGTTTACTTAGGTAAAATTTACGTCACCAAGATAATAAATCCCCATTTTCTTTCTACCTTCGTGTTCAGAGACAGCATCTAATTGATTTAAACATTTTAAAACAGTCTCGAGAATTATCGTTCAGTGTAATGTCATTAGATATACAATAAAAACAACGTCCAAGAGGACGGTTATTCTCTGTGATTTATATGCATTTTGGGAATCGTCCCGGCAGGATATTTAAATGTTGACCCGGATTTTTAAGTAGCTAAAGGCGAAATAAGGTTTTATTTGAATACGGACATTTCGTGCCAGTTCGTGCGCTATTTTTTTTTGTAAATTGTTCTTCTTAAAAGAATGCAGCGCAGCATTTATTTTGTTTTGATTTTGCTTATTCATACATACCATTTATTAGCCAAATTATTTTTGCATATTAACAACACATAACATATCATGACGCCTTTTATCCTCGAAGGGGTAGGCAGAGGTGCACATTACGGCACTTAATGTCACTGTACAATGTAACACCCACTTTTTACTATTTATGTTATGAGTTAAATGTACCTAATAGGGGGTGAGCCTATTGCCATATACCGGGCACATTTCCAGACTCCGTGCTACTACTGGGAATTTCTGAAAAAACCCAGTAATGCTTTGCCCGGCCCGAGATTCGAACCCGAGACCCCTTGCACTTGCGGCCACTCGGCCAACGAGTCAGTCATAATTAACAAGATAGCTATTATCTACTTAAATTAGTGCCGTATATTTATATATGAATAGTTATCCAGTCGGCATAGGAAGTGAAACATTATTTTCTTATGTTACAATTTTGTGTAATAAGTTTATAGCAATATTATTACCAGTGAGAGCCCTAAAGTCCATACTAAAAATACTGACACATCACGTTTTCAACGTGAAGACTTACTCAATAGGTTTTCTCGTGACCAATAACTGGAACAAAGGATTTATATTTTATACAATACATTCTATAAAATATTTACATTCCCAAGTTTAAATATTAAAATTTGCGCCGTAAATAAAACCATTCAGAACCCTGCTTAATAACTTAATATGTCATAATAAATACACACGAAATTTCGAGAACAATTCACTCAAAGCGCGCGGAAATAAATGAATGTTTTCGGCGATATAAAAAAATAAAAGCGTACGAACGAACGAATGAATGAATGAATGAATGAATAAAAAATATCGTTCAATGTGTCCGTGTTGGGATGGAAACAAGATTATGCCTGTTTTGATGAATGAGCCTCTAGGGTCAGACGAACAGTGTAGCAATTTTACCACGTACACACATAATATACGGACTTAAATTTACATAAAAATTAAGACTGATTGCCTGCACTGTAATGTGAATTTAAATTAGTCGTTTTAGAGTTCATTATAGTATAACTCTATTACTCTTTTGTTTGTTTTGTAACTCTTTTAGACTGAATTTAATTTTCAGTCGTGTACATGTTTGTAATAATAAACAGGCTTAGGGCTTAGTATGTTATTAGGCAATATGGAATAAATAGCCACTTCCGCGCGGTTTCACATGCTCTGCTCAGCTCCTATTGATCGTAGTGTGATGTTTTATAGCCTATAGCCATCCTCGATAAATGCGCTATCCAACACAAATATAGTTATTCAAATCAGACTTGTAGTTACGGAGATTCGCGTTCAAACAAACAAACAAAAAAACAACTTCAGCTTTATAATATTACTAGTGACCCGCCCCGGCTTCGCACGGGTGCAATATGCATGTATTATACATACAAACCTTCCTTAAGAATCACTCTATCTATTAAAAAAAAACGCATCAAAATCCGTTGCATAGTTTTAAAGATCTAAGCATACATACGGACATACAGCGAAAGCGACTTTGTTTTATACTATGTATTGATAGTATAGATGTAAATACTTGTTTGAAGTATAAACAGCTAGACTGATTAAATTATGGTTTCAAAATTATCCTACGAGCTTTTAGGGTTCACAAAAAAAAAATTCATCATACTTCCTACTATCCTACTAAATCTACTAATATTCTAAATTCGAAAGTTTGTAAGGAGTTATTTGTCTGTGTGTGTGTTTATTACTCATTCAGATCAAAATGGTTGAAGGGATCGGGTTGAAATTTGGAAGAAGAGTAGATTATGTTTTTGCACGGAAACGTGGGCAAAGCCGTTGTCAGAAGCTAGTCATCAATATATTCGTCCGACCAGAAACAGACCCGAGCGTACGGGGCGTCGCGTCGCGTTCTGCGCGCGCCTCAAAGAGCCATCAGACCACCACAAATGGGGCGCAATAGGGCCGATGCCGATTCGGAGTCGCTGAGAACCTAACGGGTAACCGGGGCTCCGGCTCGACGTGCAGGAGAAGGAACGGGGTGGTTTTTAGTCAGTAAGAGTCTGACACTCCCTCCCGCCTCACCCATTCGGGAGCAGTCATTCGATGATTTTCCCCCCTTAAAAAGAAAAAAAAAGTCATCAATATATTAGAACAATCATTCAATTTGGTATTTTGATATTAGGTAATTGTGTCATATAGTAACAATATTCCACCGCAATAAAAAGAGCACCATGTGTTTTTTACACAACTGTGTATAAAAAGAAAAAAAGACAAAGAATACTAACAGAAAATAAACGTTGTGAACCTAATTACAAAAGTAACCTTGGAAAAT